GTTTGATTTTTGTTTTGTTTTTTTTTTCTATATCCCTACAATTTGTTGAGTGTCCTCTGCAGACTTAGTCTCTTCATCCATAACAGGAAGGGCAATGATACTGCCCCATGAATATATGACAGTTCAGGTTTGGTGCCATATATATAGAACTTAATAAATATCCGTTGAATCTAAATCAGAAAATAGCCCAGCCAGCCAGCTATCCTAAACATACTCGGATTTCCCTTCAGTCTCTATTTCCTCTTGGGCGGACTATGGAAGTAGTTTCTGAACTGATTTCCACACTTGCTCTCATAAATGTAGAATGTCTAATGTTTTTTTTTTTTCAAGAATAGCATATATCTTGTTATTCCCTGTTTAAAGATCTTCAGTGGGATTGCATCTCCCACAGAAGCAAAAGGAGGTTCTTACCCTCGGGCTCCACCTGGTAATCTAATATGAATCTCTCCTTCTCACCTGCCTGTCTCACCCCTCTTTTCTCATTCCTAGCTCTATTTCTGTCTCCAGTCCTCCTAGTCCAAATGGAGTTCTCCTTCCTTTGTTGCTCTTTATATCTTTCGTGATGCTTTTCATCCAGTCGTCTGTTCAGCCAGTATTGGTTGAGCAGCTGTGTGTGTGTCACACTGCCAGGGGGTGAGAATGCAGGTCAGTCAGAGGAGTCACGTCCCCGGCTGACTCCCCAGTGACATGTGCATCTTACCACCACTGCTAGACCATGTGGTCCCTGAGCACTGGCACTCTGTCTTTAGGCGTTTCTGTGCAGCACTAGATGCCTTACATTAGTGACATGTAAATATTTGTTGAATAAATGGTTGAATTTATGTTAAACAAAATTGTTGTAACTTTTAATATAAAATTTAGATACAATGTAAAATTTTGGGGTAAACAATAACCATTCACTCAGTTTCTCAGTCTTGGCATTTGTAAGGTGAGTCTGTCATTCCTTTATAATTAAAAATGTGATGGGCAGTAAATAGATACTTTTTGGACTCCTCTCCTTAAAAAAATTATATTGATATATATTAGTATATAATTTAGTCTGTTGAAAGAGGTAACATTTTAAGGTGTCTGTTACCTTCCGCGTATGTTTTTAAGTTGTTAATTAGAGATCTCTAAACGACTTGGCAGTGGAAAGAGAATGATCTAGCAGAGAAGATTGCGTAAAACTAAAGAGAAGTTTGGAATGACTAACGACTTGGAACAGGATTTGGACACAAATCTTTAGACCTAGTAGTTCACAAAACAGTATGTGGATGGAGTTGAGCCTTTTTGTGTTAACATGTGTGCATGTCAAAATTGTCTACATTTTCTTAAATTTTAGTTACACGTTTAACTTATAAAAGCAATACGATAAATTTTGGAAAAATAGAGAAAAGAAAGTACCTTAACACAATCACTGTTAGCATCTCAATCTCTTTGTGTTTCTTACCATGTAAAGTTGTGGTATACAGACCATTTGAGATGCTGCATATTTTTCATATTAATATGTAACCATCACTGTTACAAGACTATATACCATTCCATTTAATGGGCACACCATTGTTTTTCAGTGGTTGCAAAATCACGTTGTTTACTGTGCTACAAAATGCTATCACTTGTAATGCTGGTTTTCATGTGCGTATGGTTTTTGCTAGGTTTTGGCATATTTTCTTAGATAGGATTTCCAAAATGCAGTTCTTCTCTTTCTAATGTTCAGAAACAACAACAGAAAAACCATTTAGTGGAATAGTCTTATCAAAATACAGTACTTGTTTTACTTATTCCCTGCCTGGACAATTGATGAAGAAGAAATGATAGCATCATTTAAACGAAACAGTAGTTGAAATGTATTACACTGACCACAGCTTTGAGTGGTTTGGGAAAAAAGAAATTTTATGCCTCTGTCCACAAGTGACTTTAGTATCTGAATGGTTATAAAAAGATCTTAGAAACATTGTTAATGTACCAGATTGTTGTAAGGTACCAGATTGAATAGAGTTCTATGCTCAGCACCTACTTTGAGGTGCTAGTAAGTAGCAGGTGTCTGTGTGCAGAATCCATCACATCAGACATCCGAAGGCCTGCACTGAGTTTACTGTGTCGAAATGTTGTGCCTAACGTCCTTCCTCCCAGTCTTCCCAGCCACCTATTTGAGAGCTGCAGACATGTTTCCCTATAGACAGGAGACTTCTAAAAACTGCAAATGATGGATTTTGAATTATTAGCCTCTGGATAATCCAGGGAGTATTCTGTGATCTTAGAATATTCACAGGTCAGAGAGAATAAAAATCAATACACATTATCATATTTAAAACTTAATGAGAAAGCCAGTGAGAGGAGCGAGGGATGGATAACAACCAGCTGTAGAGCATGTAATTTAATCAGGCTGTGGAGGGAAATAAAGCACAGAAAGGGGACAGAGCAGTGTCCAGATGTTTGTGTGAGCAGAGTGTGGTCAGGGAGCCTGGTAGAAGTGATGGAGGAGCCATGTGGATGTATTTTGGGGAAGAGTGTGCCGAGCCTAGGCAACAAAGGTCCTGATGTGGAAGAATGCTTGACGTGTTTGAGGGTCAGCACGGAGGGAGGCCTGGGCTGCTGGACTGGCGTGTTTTGGTGGAGTGGAGTGGAGGGGATGAGAGCCTTGATGAACTGGGCTTTAAAGAGAATGGGAACAAGTGTAGACAGCTCTTTGGAAAAATTTTTCTGCAAAGAGAACCAGAGAGTAAAATAGAAACTGGAGGAGGATGTGGGGTTAAGGAGAGTTCTTTTTTTAAAGATGGGAAAAATTACATAGCATGCAGTTTGTTGACAGGTGAAACCCAGCAGTGAAGGGAATATGGAGATAGATGTAGGAGGGAAAGAGACAGTTGTTGGAGGAATAGCGGTGTGGGTGCTAGACAAGTTGGGGTCAGCACGTAAGTGCAGGAGTTGCTCTAGACAGAGATGGTTCATTCACAGAAACAGAAGGAGGGACAGAATGTGGGCATCAAGGCAGGAAGACTGGTGCAAGTGACTGTGCGAGTGTGTGGAAATTCCCCCTTGATTGCTTCTGTTTACCCAGCTAAATGTAAAGCAAAAGGCTTTCGGCTGCGGATGGATGAGGAGGAGATTCTGAACAGAAGAGAGCGTGTGAAAGAGTGATCCAGGGACAGGGAAGAGTGACGAACTAGGGAAACACAGTGTGAGTGCCAGGCCTACCTGAGACCCCCTGACGTCAGAGGTTGTGAATGTAAGTGGAACTTGTCTGTCGACACAGCGATATGTTTGTCTGCAGCCACATGCAGCAGCCTGGGCACAGGTGCAGAGTTGGCAGAGTTGGCAGAGTTGGCAGATTTACAACAAGAGCCATGATTTGCCAGATGAGTAGGATGAAGAAAGAGAGGCAAGGTGCGCTGAGGTGGAGGTAAGGACGTGCTTGTAACAGTAGGCGAGCAGGAGGAGAGTTTCAGAAAGGTTTAAGAGATAAGTAAAACTTTCTATTGATTAGATATGGGGGAAAGAGTAAAGTCGGGGGTGATGCTCAGGCTTTAATTTGGGTTGACTAGATAAATACAGTTACCAAGCTCAGGTGGCTTGGTACCTGTAAGGCCAGGCAGGTAAGAGCATCAAAAAAATCAGGCGTGGGGGGCCGTGGTGGACTGGCAGGCACGTGGTCCTGAAAGGGGGCAGCACTGCTGTGGTTACGACCACAGGGAACGTAGATCCTAGGCTGCTGGACCTTCCAGGTTAAAAAACAACAACAACAAAGACAAGATTTTTAATGTGAGATTTCCTAATTTATAAATGCTATTTTTTGTTTTGACTAAACACAGTGTTTAATGCAAGTTGTATTTAGACTCCAGACCACCTCTTTTCTCTTGAGAACATTATTCCTGTCAGGGAAATAAGACATATACATGAAACTGCATCTGTAATTCATCTTATTCAAGGAAGAATTGGAAGCCACATGAGCTAGAGGCATCCAAAGTGCTGAGTTGTGTCCTTCAGTGCATGGATGCTGGCACAATTCTGAGAAGGGGCGCAGCGAGGTTACAAAGTGCTGGCCAGTGTGTGCTGATTATGTGCTATCTCTCAGAACCATGGGCCTTGCTCTCAGGCATGAATTCTTTGTGTTTTCCATCCCATTAACCTTGAACAGTTCACTGAATTTTATTTTTAGCTTCTGCTTTTCACTTCCAAATTGATAACTGAATGAAGTTGCCATTGGCTGGATGAGCCTTGGTTCAGAGCAGCAAGGCCATGTGAAGAGTATCCCTGGCCATGAACTAAGAGATGGGGCTGGCCCTGGTAACTTGAGCTGTTCACGAGCCTCAGCCTGGAAGCAGTTGGTCCACAGCCCTGCCTAGGTGATGGAGTCATGTCTTGGGGGGTTTGGGTGCTAAGGCTTTGCCCATCAGGGCAGCTGCCAGGGAGAGTGAAGTGAAGCCAAGGTCTCGTTTCCATCAGAGTTGGAACCAGGACTTAGGTTTCTTGTTCTAATCCTGCCCAGAGAGCTTCCTTTGGCCATGGGCTGGAGAGACAAGACTAGAAACCTGACAGTTGAGAGACAGATTTTTCAAGGACAGTGGTTATGGTTACTTACTAAGTGTTTGTTACGTTCCCACTGTGTGCCAACCGCTGTACTGGCTGCAAGGCGAAAAGGTAAAGAGGTAGATATCCCTGCTGTCATGGTTTGCTTCTGCCTTCCTTTCTGCCATGCATCCATTCCAGATTCCCTGAATCACAACTATATGCCTCACTCTGGACTGGGTTGTTGGGAATGTAAAAAAAGAAAAATTAATATCTGTCTTCTCAAAGATTAGCAGATAAATGTCAGTTCATTAATGTTTATTCTGTAATTGAAATCGCTTGAGAATTCTGTGAGTCCACAGACATTAAGTGATGAGGAAGATCCTGAAGAAAAGGGCTCATTTCCTGTCCTCAGGGAGCGTATAGCCCTCACTGGAGGAGAACTGGCAGAGCACCTCCAAAAGCACATGCTGCTCTTTAGAATGATCTCTATTTCATCTTTTGTATTTTAGCCTCCAAGCGTCGTTGCATTTCCAGCAGAGTACCTGGTGCCCAAGTGTTTAATAAATGTTGGTAGAATTCATAAACAGGTAAGTGTGTGTTGCAAGAGAGAAATTAATTTGTTGCTGTAATAGCAGTTCTTTTAGAAAGACTGACATTTGAGCCAGGCCTGGGAAAATAGGTTACAGTTACCTATGAGCAGAGAGGAGGTGACTTACGGTGTTCTAAGCACCAAAAATGGCAAGAGCTCCACATTAAGCCTGGGAAACAACCCAGGGTTCTGTTGCGTGACAGGCTTGGGCAGACGAGGAAATGTGGAGAGATGAGAAAGGATGGAGGCAGGTAATGGAGGGGCTTCAGCTGCCGGCCAGGCAACTCTGGGCTCTGGTTAGGGGGAAGCAGAGTTTTTAAAGGGTTGTTCTGGAGGTACTTTCAGAAATTGCCTTTTGATGGCAGTGTGATAGGTAGATTGAAGAGGTTACAGGATCATTATTTTTTAGTTTTACTGAGATAGAGTTTTATTTTTTTTAGTGGGAGCCAAGGGGAAGGGGCCCGTAGGAGAAGGGGGTTGTTTCTGAGGCATAGGCTCATGCTGAGGTAGCAAGAGGGTGAGACGACCAGCATGCCTTTGGGGGAGCGAAGGGTAGAATCTAGTTGGCACAGAGGTGGGACACCCTCAACAGAGCCTTTGCGGGAGATGCTCCTGGAGATGTTGGCCTCGGCAGGGATTCTGAGCCTTTGGAGGCCATGGGAAAACAGCTAACCAAAGGGTTTCAGCTGGGCAGGGGCACGAGAAAGGAAAACCAGAAGAGGCTAATGCTGCACCCATTGTATGCTTCACAACATCTACACTGTAGCATTGGTGGAGTTGGAATATTGATGAGTGGGCAGAAACTGCAGAATACAGAGCGTTCATTTCTTTGGGCCTTAATTACCTCCTTTGTCAAATAACCCTTCAGATCCTGTTCAGAGGTAGTTGCAGTCGTCTGTGAATCTGTCAGCAGAGACACAAGGAACTTTATAGAAGTCACTTGCTGTCTGAAAGCCCAGCCAGGCACCTCTGCCGGATCCAGCTCAAGGAGGGCATCCCAGCCTGGCACAGTGTGGCTACTTTGATCCATTTCTTGCTTACCCATTACTACTTAACTTTGTAGATAACATTTATGGGAAAACAAACAAGCTAGTTTAGAACGTGTTTCCTGTTAACCTTTCTTTGCTTTGCCATTGCTGAAGAAAGTAGGGCACGTTGTTGGAGCAGCATCTGACGTGCTGCAGCCTGAGCCTAAAATTACAGACAGGCCTTTCTGCAAGAATCCCAAATGCGTGAACACACATTCTTCGTGTGTTCTGTATATCTTATAGGTATACAGGGGAATGATCTCACGCAAGCCTTACTAAGTTCATCTTTTGGGTGGGCTGTGGACAAGGTAGACACTGTGTAACGGAGAGTTTCTGTTTCCTGGCATTAGTCACTGAAGGAGAACGCCCACATAATAATAAAAATAATACCTAACATCTGTTCAGCACTTTAGAGCCTCCCAGTGTCATATATATTTGCATCCAAATATCAGAAATCATATATGTGATTTTATACTGTAAACTGACAGAAGCAAGGCAAGTATCCGGCATATAGGGCACTGTGTTAATTTAGGTAAGAATCTGTGGGGAAGAGCAGGCTGCTTCTATTCCTTCAAGCCTTGACACAGGGGAAGGGATCATGTGGATAAGTCCATGCAGCTAGACAAATGTGGGTTCAAGTCTCAGCTCTTTCAGCTGCGTGGCCTTCAGCAAACTGCCTAACGTCTCTAAGCCCCAGCTTCCTCCTCATTGTGAACTAGGATGATAATTCCTCTCACAGTTTCTGTGACGGTAGACAGAAATTAGGTTTACAAAGCTGCGCAGACACAGCCTGAACCAGAGGAATGCACAGGGACTAGTAATAGATGACAGGAATCACTTCCTTAGCTCGGGTGCTGTCAGATCTCGGCGTTGGTGAGCTTTCCTCACCTTTGTCTCTCATATCCAGACTACCACAGTTTCCACTTCTGTTTCTCCTTTTGAAACATTGCTTTACTCTTTCTGCCACAGCCCCATTGACACTATGCCTGACCTCATCTCCAGCTAAATTACGGCAACAGCCTCCCAGCCAATCTCTGTCTTCTCATTCTCCCATATCCCACCCTGTTTGTTCCCACCATATACCTCGTATGGCATGTTGAGACTGTGCCTCCTGAAGCTCTGTTTCCTATGATTGTGAATTTTCACTGTCTCTCTGTTGCCTGTTAAAGAAAACCAAACTCTCTAGACTGAAATTTACCATCGTTTATTTTGTGTGAAGACTCAGTACAAATTCCATGCTACAGTCACACCAGGCGCCTTAATCTTAGACGTTTAGTGAACTGAGTCTGCCTGTGTGCCTTTGCTCATGCTCTTCCTCCTGCCTAGAATGCTGCATACAGCATTGTTTATATTTCTTATATTTTCAAATATACATGATGTATGCATGGATAATTAGTCATGAAAGGAACATCAGGTGCAAAAACACAGCTTTCTTCTAAAAAATGATGAGGAACTTTATATCTTGACACATACATAATCCTTTTGCTTTCCATTGAATTTTTGTCTTGACAATTGATTTTCTGACTATGTTGGGGATGCATTACTGTCATAATGGCATCACTGCATCCTAGTAACGATAATACCAGAGTATTAAACAGCATGGAGAAAGTTTTTGAGCTAGGGGATTTGAAAAGGGCAAGAAAGCATTGTTTCCTGTATATGCACATTAAGACATTTTTCTAAACCTCCCTACCCAGGAGACTCTTTGCTTTGCTGTTGCTGTTTTTTGCAGTTTCTCCTTAGCCCTTACCATATTTTTCAGACTATAAGATGCACTCCCCCCACCCCCAAATTTGGGAGGAATAATGGTTGTTAATGCTGCTGTTGAGTTCTGTTTACATTTACCTTGGTGAAATATTATTTATGTTATTAAATAATTGCCACATTTTTTGCTTCAAAATTTTTTTTGCTATTTTCTTCCTCTAAAACCTAAGTGTGTCTTGTCTGAAAAATATGGTAGATGGAATTAGTGGAGGCCCCATGTGTGGGGGCCTGCTGTCTGTGTCTGCCAGGAACCTCAGCATCTCACACAATGGCTTCAACCTGAGGCAGATCAGGCAAAAAAGGCATTTAAGTTCATTCCTCAGGTTCCTTTCCATCAGCATTCTTTGGGCATAACCTGCTGTTTCTTGGCCAGATAGGCAAATGCTATTTTGCTTGGTCTTCACAATTTAAAACTGTCCTGGTTTGTTGAGATACTTTACCATGCTGACTTGCATTTTTCCTTCTATGCCTCTATCTCCAAAAGGAGAAATTGAGAGGGATATTAATGAGAGAATCGGTTTCATGGCTTGTCTCATCATGACAAATTTCATTGATTTTTGAAATTCTTTCTTCCATTTTCTAGAGTCTAGTGCAGAGATAGCAAACACAAGGCCCGCGAGCCTAATCCGGCCGTCCACCTTGTTTCTACCTGGCGGCAGTGCTGAGCTCTCGCTTAACAGTTAAGGAGCAGTTTCATTTATACAGTCCTAAAATTACATTTGGCCCTTTGAAGGCAACCGTGAGGCTGATGTGGCCCACAGTGAAAATGAGGAAGTTGGACACCCCTGGTCTGGTGCCTCGTCTGTGGCGGGGTAGTAGGAACTTAAATATCCTGCAGCTTCTCTTTTGGCCAAATCATTTAGTCTCTGAAGAATGGGAGAGACCATCTTAAACAGGGGGTTTCTCTTCCCAAGAAGTCCAGCTGGGGTAGTAATTTGTAACTGCCTATGAGATGGCAGTCACATGTAGGATTTTCCTCTTTGCCCAAGTTTCTTTTTAAAGGTTTAAATAGTGGAAGAAGGATCTGATAGCTCTTGTAATCTAGGGCACTCAGTAAAATTTCTCCTTATCCAATCAGATAAGTGCTCCTTAAATCATAGTAGCAATTAAGAGGCTGCTTTTCTTTTTCTATTAGCATTCATTTACCAGGACAAGGACATCTATTTAGAAGCAGTAAAGCACTTAGCAAAAAGTGATTTTAAATGCGCTAAAGGAGGAAACATTTTTCTTGTTTTTTATCCTAAAACATATGGTATAGTCACAGTCCATAAATTCACAGTAACACAACCACTTTAATAAATGGAGAAATGCTTATCAGATTAACCAGGTCAAATTCAGATAGTACATATGCAGTACGATAACTTCAGTGTGAAATAAAAGCCACAAATTTATCCATAACAAAAAGTGGTGGGGAACCCCACAGATGCTAACAAATTATCTGATTTGTTTCACTTCTTTATTCTCTCTGTGTCTATATTCTTCAGTTTTTCTTTGTTGAGTGTTACTAATTTTATAATAAAAAAGTCACTATAAAGTCACTTTTTAAAAAGTTATATCAAGTAATGATGAATGTGTATCAATTTCATGTTTATTTACATTTTACTTTTTGAAAAAAGCAAAATGGGCAAAAACATACAGTGTAAAATGTGGGAGAATAAGTGATTACTTAGAACCTGTCAAACATGGTGATTGTTCACTTGGGCAGAAATCTGGAAACCTCAGGTATCTGAACCACTCACTACGAAGCAAAGTGTGTTATCAGGTTAAATTAATTAGATTATAAGAAGTGTTTTGAACAATGCTTGGGATGTGACAAGCTGGTTATTTTTATTATCATTTTCATCATTGTCACCTCTGGATACTCCATTTTTTAATGAACTCCTTGTCTAGCTCCTAGTGCTCACAAAGTGCTCGTTGAGTTAGTTTTTCTAGACCCTTCACAACACCTGGCCACCTGGTAGTTGTGTCACGCCTGGACTCTGCTGACCAGAGCCGCACTGAACACAGAATAGCAGGCAGGGTGTAAGTGCCGAGATGAGGGGATGCTCTCCTCCCCGATCCCGGCTGCTGCCCTGGTGATGTTTGTTTGGTGGCCAGGTCTCATCTTTGCCTTGTGTTGAGGTCCTGATCTGTGCTTAGGAGTTTTTTTCGAACTACATTGTTTAACCTGACCCCTGCTAAATCTAATCTGTTTTTGTTTTGATTC